AGATGGGTATAAGAGACAGGGGACAGCTACGCAGTGCAAGCATTGTAGTGAAAACACTAGCCAATGCCGTATCCAGCTAGCTATTTGGACAGTTGGGACAGTCCCACACGATTTTTCTAATGGTTCCACAAAGAATGGGTCCAAATTTTTAAAAATGGGTGAAAATTATGCAGTTTTATGCATAAAATGAGTCCATTTTTAAAAAATTGGTTCAGATTTATCATATTTAGCTTAAAGTGTGTAAAATTTTAATTAAATGGGTCTATATCTTTCATATTTTTGCGTAAAATGGGTTAACTTTTTTAAGGAAATGAGTCCACATTATTTGTATTTACGCATAAAGTGGGTCCACCCTGATATTGTCCCTCACTGTTTGAAAATCCTGGCTACGGCATTGGCTGTAGCGACTGTGTAGCGATTGTATGGGAAAGCTCGGTTACCATAGCACCCTACCGACGACAGTCGCCGACTGTTGTCAGGAAGGTTGATTCTAGGTCAACTTTTTCGATTGCGTTGCAGACGAATCGGGGTGCCTTCCCGACTGCTTCAAGCAGTTAGCAATGCATCCTAATCAGCAACTTACAGTGAGGTGCAGTTCAAAATATTATGACGATAGTTTACAACATTATTATCGTTAAGCAACCTAATTTTATTGTGAACAAGTGAACCGCTGCAAAATATGATGAAGGCCTATGTTTCATGCACAAAAACACTAGACCTATATCAAAAACATTACGAGAATTTAAGGCTACCCACAGTGAGCTTCCGGCAAATTCTCACCTTATTAGTATTTGGTAAACCTCATGTGGTGCTATATCCGATATAGAAAACGAAGGCCAATACTGTTCCTCTAATAACGTTGAATGTTAAAAAAGTAATAAACACCATATGCTGTCATGTGTATAGGTCCATTTTAAGGGAACTTTGATATTGAGTACCGGGTGATATAACTGACTGAATACTTTAATGAACGAACGAACGAATGACCGAACGATCACTTGATCAAATAATCAGTCAGTGAGTGGTATATTTAAAATGTGGTATCTAAAAACGTGTACTGAATTATTTGTTTGTCGCGCGCTTGGCAACAGGGCCTGTCTGTCAGGCAAAACAGGAGGGTATTTTTTACCTCCATGATCAGGTAGGGGATATGTGATCTCGAGACCTGGAAACATACCTGCATTCCTGTACCTCTTGGAACCCTCCCGATATATAGATCAGAATTGGATAAAATAAAAAAAAATTTTAAAAAGTTATATAATACCTCCATGTATCAGGTAGTTGGTTTCTGATTCTGATCGGATACCAATGATGGACCTTTGGAGCGCCAATCAATCTTAACAATTGACCAATCAGAACATCGCTAAGAACACACGCTTGTCCCACAAACACGTGTGTCCCACAAATGCACGTGTTTATGTAGGTTTACGCTATCTTTTTGTGGAACCTTAGCAATATCTGAGGCATTGCATATTAATTAGTGAACTTGCTGGGGCGTGACAACGTGGATAGGAAAAAGATACGACTATTCGGTCGGAGGTGAGGTCAGAGGTTGTTGAAAGTTTATCAGTGTTCTTCGATAGGCCTAGCTTAGCCTGGGTTACAGGCCGTAATTTTGGGTTACTCACTCTTTATTGCACTTAGTGCGTGCCATACCTAATTTAATTAGCGTCCCATACTTGATTTCTTTTATTACGTCTCTAAATTAACTTTCTCGTTGGTGGCGCTGTCCAAAATGAGAAAACAAATTTTAATAAGAAAGACTTGGTAAGCCTAGCCTAGACCATGCCTAGACTATTTTCTGATTAATTTATTTCTACTGAGGCAGACATACGATTTTTTAACTGCAGTGAGATGAAATAATAATTCTGAAATGGCTAGTACTTTCAGGAATTTACCAAAGGTAAAAGGACGCCGGCTATTTGAAATATTGAATACGTTACCGGACTACGGTATCGGAAGAGTGTTTACCCGAACATCGTGGTTGTCCAAGTTCCCAGATGAGCCTAGCTACATTCGAATAACCAGTGTTACAGTGGACACAGAAAAGCCTGTATGTATATTTACTAATAACATAGGAAAAGGTTCTATATTATGCAGAGCAAGATGCATCGTATCTGATGATAGGCTAGGCACGGCACGACACATTTTCATTGCACTGTTCTGTCTGTGTGGTGGGTACCCCTAGACCCTAAGCCTGGCCTGGGCCTAGGTAGGTCTAACGCTCTCCATTCTAAGCCACACTGTACCTACCTACCTAGGCTTATTTATAATGCCACGAGAATAAATATGATTATGAAAATATTTCCTCACGACATTCCTACAAACATGTGACTATTGTATTATTTATTACGTTTATTGTTTTAACATTCAACAGCAGCAATCACATACACATGGCTTGTTATATAGTTGGCAAATGCATTACTAACTATTTTGGCGAGGGGGTAATATTGATTGTTGACAGGTCCTACTTGTGTGTGGTGGTTATTTCATTTAAAGCAATTGTAAAGTATTAGTATTATTAATATTAGGGCTTTTCATGTTCTATACATTTACAATCCCCCCCCCCCCCCCCACCAGGCAGCATTGGGTAATTGGGTCTACATACAGTCAATGGATTCATAATACAGAACTTAACATGCTTTTTTGTATTTTCGTTTTATTTAGAATTTGAATGGTGGAGAGGTATGGGCCAATCGAACATGGAGAGGTAAGATTCTTCATAAAATCTACATGTTTACTGTAATTTTAAGAAGCCACATTCTTGTGAAGGGATTTATTTATTGGCTGGGGTAGTTGCAGCTACAAAAATAGCAAGTTCACCCCTCCCCCCTCTCTTAATCCTCAAACTCCACTAAAGGTTTGTAATTCCCATCAGCACCCTCTCCCCACCTTTGTCAATACCTTTACATACATCACTGTCCTTGTCCAATTTTATAATTTGTTACTGCCTGATATTTATGTTTTTTTTATTTTTTATTTGATTTGCCTTATTTTCTAGGTTACAGGAAGGATGGACTTGAAGTAAAAATTACTGCATGGCACAAATCTGAATGGAAGCTTATTAGGAAGAGTGAAGAGGCAGACTTCTGTGCCTACACACCCAAAAAAGAAGACTTTCATGTGGTTCCAAATTCAATACCGTTACCTCCATTATTGGATGCCATGATGAGACAAAAGATGGAAAGAGAGGGGGATGTGTCGGAGGAAAAGCTTAAATTAAAGTTGATAATTAACCAAACTTATGTAAATAGAGCGTATCAGTTACCAGAATCATGATTAGTAATTAAGTGTTAATTTTTACTGGAATTTGATTGAAACATTGAAATTGAGTGGAGACTGCTTATGATGTTCATCTTTACATACCAAGTTCCTGGATTCAAATCTATAGAAGTGCTAATAATTATATCCAAGACTCTTAACTAATTATGCCTCAGAGTGAAATGAGAGTTGCATTTATAGAGTCCCATCTCGGAGTCATTCTCAGTGTAGCTTTCCGGAGTCGCATTCTGGATTCACATCCCGAGTATCTTCATGTTATTGGTAGACTGTGTAATTGCTTTTAGATGTGAAATAAATTTATAATTATCAAATTTTTGTGCATTATTCAAGTCTTTACTGCTAGACTGGTGTTTATTTAATTTTACCAAACTATCAGTATTTTAAATTACTGTACACTGCTTACATCTTCTTCAACATCAAAGAATTATAAACCTTACTCAAATTACAAAGTCCCTGACTTTATTTTGTTTTATTAATTTTTATGAAATGTATGGAGATAATTTGGCGATCTTAGAATTTTGTATATGATCAGTACTGAATAATCTAAAAAACTACAAATACAATCAACCAGTGACTATGGCTAGGGTCTGAGACGTTACAGAAAAAACCAAAAAAAAAACAACTACAATAACTTCGGAGGCGACGACTTATAAAGCTTTAATTTAAAAATCTTTCAAAGGGAGACTGTGAGCTAAATTGTCAAAAGTATGTTTATAGACTGGAGGATACATTGTAAAATGGTGACCAAACAACACACTTAATAATCTCACAAAGCAAACAAATTAGATGAATGAATATAATACTAAATGCAAGTCTTTTTCAAGTTTACAGTACTTGTTCTTTGTACTTGTACTCAGTACTTGAACTACCCACTTGTTCAAGTGGGTAGTTCACCCACTTGGCACTGGTACCCAATCTGTAGGCCTACTGCCTAAAAACGACCAAGTCGGTCTCAGTATGGATCACCCCAGTAAATAAAACAAACAAAATCTTTCTCAATAGGTAGTAAGTGGTGGCTTTAGAAACATTCAGGAGCTAAGCTATAAGAGTCTCACAATTTACTTTGGGTTCACAGGAGCAAATAGAGAAGGGAGAAAAGTACAAACATTGTTGTACAACGATCTTACTAAATTTAATAATATCTTTTACGTTGTACCTAATTTTTGGTTATACCAAAGAACTTAAATAGCAGATGGTGTAAGCCTAGGACCGTTTCGACGGCGAACAGTTCTGCCGATGTTAAATACATTGCGGCCACAAGGTCATAAATTGACAAGTGCACAAATCTTCAGTCAGCGGGGCCGAGTGATGTAGCATAATGTATGGTGTGATATGTCCGGGTATGTCCGCGTACCCCTGCATGAATGGATAGGTCTGGCCGCTTAACTGGTGGTGGCGGAGGATGCGAGTCCTGGCCAGTATGTGAAAGCTCGTTTTATATATACAATGCCAAAAAATATTTTTCATTTTCTTTATATATTCTCACTTAATATATCCATAAGCTGCTGCCCCTAAATTGAGATCTTGTATAATCGATAATAATTAGCCAAATTACACAGCGTAAATCATCTTGGTTGCATAAATATTTCATTAGAATGCAGGTGATCTATCCCTGGTTCATTATCAATGGCAAATGTATCTTCATATAAAAAATATAAATATAAAAGTTTGACAAATCTGTAATATAGAGGACAGCAAACAAATAAACAAACAAATTAATAAACAAATTAATTTAAATTAGTCTAAACTAAAACACGAGATAAGCAAACATTTAAAAATTAAATACAGTATGTACAGTATACCTATAATAATACCTTCTATTATTATTATTATTATTATTATTATTATTATTATTGGAAATAAAATTAAAATATAAATAAAAAATATACATAAAAATGTTTCCATTTGGTTTCTTAACTTTTGATTATTATCAGTTAAAGCTAATTGATTTACATTAGGTTGAATTGTAACTGGCATGTTATAATTTTGTTTAAATTTAAGATGTTAGGCCTATAAATATCTCTGATTTGTGTATTTTTGTGGGCTGTTTTGGTGGCACAAATGGGCCCATGGCCAGGCTAAAACTTGGGATTAGCTACTTCAGTTTTCGAGGAGGAAAAAACTTACTATTAACGATTCCACTTGAAAATCCCAGTGGATCAATAGCACCAATATATCTTTAAAGTTTGAGAGAAGATAGTGAGGGCAGCAACCATGTTTATATAAATGTCACAATTTATTTCCCAAACTTTGAGTTACTAGTATTCAGTTTTCACTTGGTTTTCTTTTTTTCGTTTTCTTTTTTGAATTTATTTAATTTTAGGTTTGCTAATTGAAACAAGTTAATTAAGACGGTTATAGTGTTACTTTGTTCTGTCTGTCGTCCTCTATTTTTTAAAAATTTAAAAAAAAAAATTGTTCAGCGTCTCTGATAAAAAAAATTGTTCAGCGTCTCTGATATCAGAATATATCTGTCTGCCGCCCTCTAAAGTATTTGCGAATTTCGGAAAAGTTAGCCTGGGTGTGTACGTACGTGCATGTGCGATGGAATGCGCAGCCGTTGAGCGATTACCGATTGATGAACAATTTCTCTGTAGGCCTAGCCTTCTCATCCTTTGGATGAATCGGTCATTAAAGGTCTCTGCGAAAATCCACTTGTCTAGAGCTGAAGATGCTATAAGGTAACACAAATGAGAGAAATAGGCCTAACCTAGGCTAAAAGTTGAGGCGTAGCCTTGCTAGCTAGGACGAATTACCGGGCTAGGACCTAGGCTAGGCCTAGGCCTAATCCCTATAAAATTTTTATAGTACGTTAAAAAAAATACAGGTAAACTAAAGGCCTATAATTTTTGTATAGAATAAATATAGAAATTATATAGTTAGTTTTATTATAGAGAACTTGTCATATCGTTTGTATAGAATATTCTATAGAATTTCTGAATATGCAAGATGTAAACATGTTAATAGGACTATACTGGTACAGTGCATCATGAAAACTTTTAAATCTGTGAATTGTTCGAAGTGAACTTATATGATTATTGTATTTTAAATGAACAATTTTACTTTTGATTTTTCAGCTAGCATTGTTGATGTTGCATGTTTTAATAATAGACAGTCTAAATGGTTAAAATATCTTACAAAACACAATCAATAAATCATATACATTATAACTAAGTAAAATGCAATAGCAAAGGAATCCCTTCACCATTTCATTTATAGAGAGCACAGAAAAAAGACCAAAGTAGCTAATATATTGCAATCGTGATTGGTCAATCTCTTGAAATAAGGTCAAATCATTCAAGCATCACTGGCGTTAGCTAATCTGGGGTCTGCAGGTAGCGTTAATAACGCCAAGGACGTGGCGTAGTGAGTGGGTTTAACAACGCCACTGCCTAGTTCACACACAAAGGCGTACGCTACGCCAGGCTTAAGCCAACCTTACGCCGTGTGTGTGAACATAGCCTTATGTACTTGACCTTATAGTATTTCAGCAGTACTAATAGGTAAAAATTGTTTTCTATTATTATTCATTTAATGTTGTTTAAATTGGCGCATTAGACTTAGTATAATGCGCCTTTTAAGTCAAAAATTGGATTGGTTTGGATTAGATTAGATCTCTAGGCATAGGAGCCTAGCTAAAATAGGCCTCTGCTTTTTGTCTAGTTTAGGCCTTTATTATTGATATTTACAGCACCACTGTGCTGACAGGATAAAATTGCTCTCCGTTTACCCACAATGCATTTCAAACGGATGTTTGACTATATTGGGAAGCTGCTCTATCTTCTGATATTTAGGCTATGTTCTCACACAGCTGCTAACGGTTAGCAGGTCTGGATCCTGCTAACCGTTAGCTGCCGTGCGTCCATACGAGAAAATCCCAATCCGGATACCAGAAATATGATGATCGAATCACTGGCCAATAAGAAACTGGTTGATGATAAAAACGCGCTCAACTTGCTAACCGATAGTGCTAATTGCTAACCGTTAGCGGTATCCAGATACTGCTTACGGTTAAGCGCTAACCAATCGGGTGTTCTCATGCACATAGTTGCCAACTTTTCCCAAAAGAAATCCGCGAGAACTCTCCTTGCGTAGCAACGTACCACTGGCTGGGGGAGCCAGGGGAAGAGGGCCTGGGGGAGGGGCCTGCTGGGGGCCAGGTTGACAAGCAATTTGACGCTCACGCAATCTGAGCATTTTTTCACTACTACTGACTTGATTGATCTTGGACACTAAAAATTATGTCTGCTAATGGGACGGTGTATTCTAAGCTGCAGCCTGTTTTCCATTAGGCAAATTTATTTGCGTGAATCAAAAGAGTCATTTTGCTTCCTGAGCTCTGATTGGTTGCACATTTTTTTCGCTTCGAAAAATGCTGATAGGTATGTGAATGCACATGCGCATGGACCAACGCTTTCAATTCGTGCAAATAAATTCGCCTCGTGCAAAACAGGCTTTAAGTGAACTGATTTTTGCCCGCTCAAGGGCTAAATGAATTCTCTCGGTCTCACAAATAGTACTAAAGATTTAGCAGCATGGGTTGGACGAAATAAATCATGGTCAATTCTAGCAGTGTACTTGAAATATGTGGGTCATCTGGCGAGAGATGAATGATCTGTATGCAGTTGTGTTTAATTTCATCAGATTGATCTATTTTTGTAATACCCTACTGTATGGTGATTTAGCATAGTGCACTCAAACTTCAATGGTCCTCGTCACCCTTCTGTGGTGCTACAGTGGTCGACTGTATATTTAATTAACCTACAATATATGAATTTCTTTCAAGCTGCTAAAAAAAATCAATGATGATATGGTTACAAAACTGCAGAGAGCATGAACAAGGACTACAAAATAACATTTGCATTGATAAATATTATAGTTGTTTATATTTTTATTTTTAGGTGGATTTTTGATTGATGTGACATGGCTAATCCACATGGAACAGAGTGAGTATATGTTTATTGACTGTTGTCAAGGTTGTAAATAATAATTTGATAAGTAAACATTATAAAAAAAAAAAAATACAAACAAATCAGTGACAAGGTGTTGAGTAGACCTACATGTAGGGGCATAGTGTGAATACATGAGGCCTTTGAGCTTCAACACTATGAAGTCAAAATATAGATTACAAGTAATGTACTATAATACTTTAACTGCATTTCTTTGCATGATATTTTAAAGCCCCATTCCCGGCAAAATTTCACTAAAAACTGACTTTTTTAGAAAATATTCATTTACATTATTCCAATTATTATAAATCATGGAAAAATATTGGCATGAGTTTCAGTTTTACGCAAAAGAATAAAAAAAATGAAAAATACAGACTATTTCTCATAAAATATTACCATTTTCTGGACGAATTCATCGTTACTAGGCAAATTCAGAGGTTGTAGATCGCATCCACTGGAATACTCTCGCTTTTATGTATACTTTTATACAGTCATAAAGTGCGCCCTCTCTAAAGACACGGCAGCTAACGGTTAGCAGGATCCGGATCCTGCTAACCTTTAGCGTCCATACGAGAAAATCCCGATCCGGATACCAAAAATATGATGATCGAATCACTGGCCAATAAGAAACTGGAAATTATAAACGCGTACGTGTGATTGGTTGATGATAAAAACGCGCTCAACTTGCTAACCGATAGCGCTTGCTAACCGTTAGCGGTATCCAGATACTGCTTACGGTTAAGCGCTAACCAATCGGGTGTTCTCATGCACATAGTTGCCAACTTTTCCCAAAAGAAATCCGCGAGAACTCTCCTTGCGTAGCAACGTACCACTGGCTGGGGGAGCCAGGGGAAGAGGGCCTGGGGGAGGGGCCTGCTGGGGGCCAGGTTGACAAGCAATTTGACGCTCACGCAATCTGAGCATTTTTTCACTACTACTGACTTGATTGATCTTGGACACTAAAAATTAAGTCAAGTGTATGTAAACTTAATAAAACCAAAAAGTTATACTCATTTAAATTTGACCAAAGTACAGTACTGTAAACTTAGGATGAGTACCCGAGACAGTTGCTTGGTGTAAAATTAAAACATTTTTTACGGACTCACTTTATTCATGAATCACGATGTACAGACATCACTTTCATGTGGAAAACAGATAAACAAACAAACAAACAATTTCCACAGCTGCCTTTAAAGTGCACCAAGGCCAACATGTGTACACTGTGCCTACAGTTTATATAGCCCCTCTATAGTCCTGATCAGAGAAGATCTGTTCCACCACCAGAACCATAGGTAGCGGGTCGCTCAAACCAACGCTGATGTTATGTCTCTACGATTGTTGCGGCGCTGCTGCTTTACCAATCAGCCATTCCCTCGCCACTGTAGGCCTACAAGGATACAACTGAGTGAGACAAAGAAATATACAAAAAAAGAACCTAACAGTACTACAGTTTTATTATTGGTAGAACAATACTAGATTGCGGCACAGTGGGCGGCGGTGGGGCCCTGTAAAAGCAAGAGAAAAGCAGCATGGGTTGGACGAAATAAATCATGGTCAATTCTAGTAGTGTACTTGAAATATGCTGGTCATCTGGCGAGAGATGAATGATATGTATGTAGTTGTGTTTAATTTCATCAGATTGATCTATTTTTGTAATACTCTATGGTCCCCAAGTTGATTTAGCATAGTGCACTCAAACTTCATTGCTCCTCGTCACCCTTCTGTGGTGCTACAGTGGTCGACTGTATATTTAATTAACCTACAATATATGAATTTCTTTCAAGCTGCTAAAAAAAATCAATGATGATATGGTTACAAAACTGCAGAGGGCATGAACAAGGACTACAAAATAACATTTGCATTGATAAATATTATAGTTGTTGGTATTTTTATTTTTAGGTGGATTTTTGATTGATGTGACATGGCTAATCCACATGGAACAGAGTGAGTATATATTTATTGAATGTTGTCAAGGTTGTAAATAATAATTTGATAAGTAAACATTATAAAAAAAAAAATACAAACAAATCAGTGATAAGGTATTGAGTAGACCTACATGTAGGGGCATAGTGTGAATACATGAGGCCTTTGAGCTTCAACACTATGAAGTCAAAATATAGATTACAAGTAATGTACTATAATACTTTAACTGCATTTCTTTGCATGATATTTTAATTAAAAATATAATTTTAATCTTGTTTAATTTCATATTAATTTTAATTTATTGTCTTCTGCCGATGAAGAATGGAGGAGGCTATTTTATTAAAATGTTTTAATTTCTTGTCATTTTTTTTTGGTGCAGAAGTAAATTCTGTTACTATCAGTAATAAAGGATATGAAATTACTCTAATGGAAAAAAAAATCTAATATTTGAAATATTTTGTTTACTTGGAAGGATTCTTGAAAATAGATCGAAACGTTGAATCTCAAAATGGTTCTGTCTCTTTTCGGACACAGTCTTTTTGTTTGGTAAAAGTAAAAACTTCCTGCTAGTAAACAGAAGTTATAAGCTTTCACATGTAGAAATTACACTTGGCAATTAATGGACATACGATAGTGTAATACCGAAAGGTCCACTGATTAATCTCAGATTATAATACATACTCCAAGTAATGAAATGCACGCCATCGTGTCTTGATTCAATATTTCGACATTAATTATGTCATCAGGAAATACCAACAACTATAATATTTATCAATGCAAATATTATTTTGTAGTCCCTTCATACAACCTGATAATGACATAATTAATGTTGAAATATTGAATCCCGACACGATGGCATACATTTTGATACTTGGAGTATGTATTATACTATTACTTGGAGTATGTATTATACTATTCAACATTAATTATGTCATCATCAGTAATGGACATGTAACAGTAATAGCATTTAATCATGTCATTGTCAGTATCATATGATGTTTTAGTATTATATTTTCATATTCGGCTTTGAAACTACAAAAAAAAACCTTTAAATAAACAAAATGTATAAATCTTCTATTTATATGCTATCATCATATTTAAATTATATTTTATTGAAGAAATTATTTCCATTATGTAAAATCTGATTCTATGAGTGCTCAGAATGAGAATTTATTGTCTTTTTTAAAACAGTATTGAATAATTAATAATAATGATCATTCCTACTGTGTAGTAAATATTTTTGTTCATGGATACACAAACTACATATGTGGCAAAGACAAACCAATCACTCGTCGCAAATCGTGTTTCACAGAAAATGGCCAGAACATGCTGGAATGTCAAATTTTAAAAAATCTATTTCATTGCACTAAACTAATCTTTACATATCTACATCATTGCATGCTGTTATTTTCCCCATTTTCAATGTTAGAACAACACTTTTTAAAGGATTTGAAGATAGTTTCTGCATTAGAAATGCCTGAAATCATAAACTTTGAAGGTTGATTTCTCATATATTGTTCTTTAAACAGCTCTATGTTTAAACGCTTGTAACTTCATTAGGAAATGTCTGATTTGAATGATTTTTTTTACCATTTTATAGCTATTATTTTACTCTCTAAAACTGTATTAATAACTCAAAATCAATTTTTGTGACGAGTGACTGGTTTGGCTTGTCTTTGCCACATATTCATTTGATTAGCCCAAACATAAATTAGAAATTTAAGATGTTCATTGCATTATTTTTTTTAATTAAAGGTTTGGATACATTAAAGAAATAACATTAAATTACACATAAATGTTTATTGTTTTTAAAGTGAGAAAAGCATATTTTTGGTCATGGATACACAAACTACATCATTCATTTGACTAGCCCAGCAAGAACATATGGTTAGCCAGAACTCAAATTAAAAATTTAAGATGTTCATTGCATTATTTTTTTTTTTATTAAAGGTTTAGATTACAATAAAGAAATAAAATTAAATTGCATTTAAATGTTTATTGCTTTCAAAGAGAGAAAAGAAAGTGAAAGTTGATTGTTTTATTACTTTTCAATACTTGCTCTTTTCCCATTAGGTTTAAACTTTCACCTTATAAAATTTATAATTTCATGTCATGAGTTTATGCTTAAAATATTACTTTCTGTTTAATTGATTAAACATACCAGATTTAGAAAGAATGATTTAGGGAATGTTTGTGTTTTTTTTTTTGTTTTTTTTTAGTATATGACATATTTCATCTTATTCTATATTGGCTGATAATTAGTAAGTTATCAAAAGGACACATTTAATTGGCCAAAATGTGTATGATGCAAGTGCTTGAGACAGTTTTCACTTCAGTTATAATCACATTTACAAATATATAAGGATCGATTCTCATTTATTATATTAGTACAACTTATTTCTGAAGTGCACAATTTTACATGGTACCAGGAGGCACTAAATCTGGAAAGAAGGATATTTATTTAATATATTAATTATCATCTTTTTCTATGAATAATAAGGTGGATTGTTGCTCAGTACTATGAATTTATAATTGCATGAAATTTGATTCCAGTTACTTGGTGTAGCATTATTGCAGAATGCCTAGGTAATGGAGCCAGTACATTTTATGTAGGCCTAAGGAAATGTTACTGAATACAGATAATTGTATGGTGATGCACTTGACTAGATCTAACATTAGCAACCTCATTGAGCAAGCTACTGGTTATTTTATTGGAATATGTTGAACTTCCTGTTACAAATTCTATTAAATATCTTGGCATAGACTTAGGATGGAGTTAAGTTGACTGATATGGTACAGTAGATGAAAAGAACACATACTATTGCTAACTTTTAAGTGGCTGTGACAATCACCCCCCCCCCCCTCCACCTTATCTATGTAACAAATTTACTTTTAATCAAAACAGCCACTCTCAGTGCACTATAAGTAATCTAAGCATAAATGGAAGCTTGTACAAGGCAAGAGAAAATTTGTATACTGTGCAACTAAAATATGGAACAAGCTTCCAAACGAAATGGGATCAAACTTCAATTATGTTCAACTGGCTAGGTTTAACAATTTAATCAAAACCCTGTATATTTTTATTCATTTCTATTGCAAAGTAATGTTCTTTTGCCTTCATCTAAATTTAATTAGTTCTTTACTTTTTTTATTTCTGGTTTTTCCTTTTAATTTTCTGTTTATTTTACTTTTTAATTCGTTTGATTTTTACCTGTTCATTTGATTTTTTATTTCTGATTTGCATTTCTGTTATATATTTTTTTGTTCATGTGATCCACTTATGAAACTAGTGCTGCATCACTGGAAGTACTATCTCTTTAAAGAAATAATAAATAAATAAGTAAATAAATAAAATAAATCTAAAACTATGTCAGGATAAAAATAGAAAATTAAGACTATATAGATATATGGATTAAAGTATCCCAGTCTGGATTCCATTTTCAGAGACCTGCAGGCAGAAACTCAGAATGACTGAAACTAAATGTTATGGCCATTCATTATCGATCATTTCTTTGTATTAACTTTGTTACCAAATGTATGTACAAGATGTTTGATGTTAATGTTTTTAAATATATCTGTAAATTGTAGGCATACTTACTTTCTGAAGAGTTATGTAATAATTTTATAGCACTTACTGATTGTTTGCATAATTCTGTCTTTAACTTCTTTGCCAGACATTTTAGAGAACTGCCTGCGAATCTCTGTAACCAACTTTTAACTAGCCTGAACAGTTTTAAGCAAAGCATTAAAAGATATTTTACAGACCTTTTTTTTTTACCTCTATGTAAATTTTTATTCTTTAAAAAATCACATTTTTACTACTGTATATAATTTAATGAGAAATGTTTTTATCATAATATTTTGAAGCGAAATGAATGATATGATATAATAAATCTACTCTTAACTTAATTGAAATGGAGACACATCATTTTAACAGATGAATCTGTACTGTCAAGATTTTATTTTGGTACAAGTGGGTAGCTTTTAAAAAAGCAGCTCCTCATTGTTTTAGCACTTTCCTTACTTCAAACCATTTTACTGAAATCCTTCTTTGCACTTTTCAGAACAGCATTGGTTCGGGCATTATTGGATAAAAACTGGCCTCTGGTCAGTAATATGTTGGCAAAGGATTCACAGCTTGTTAATGAATGTCCAGTAAGTAACAATTTTTGGACATTCATGAGAAAGTGAATTGTTAAGAGTGTTGTAATCTCTAAAACCTGAAAAGCAGGTACACTTGCAGTCAAATATGCAGCTATTGTAAAATGTTTCACAAAAACTTGTCTACATCTGCAAGAATGAAGGTGCAGGTTCATCATTCCTGATGATGAGTAAATAAAGTTGAAACGTTGAGTAAATATGGCCTCACTTTCTGTATTTGGAGTCACTTTTGTTTTATTTTATTTGAACACAGTCAGTGCCCCTTTTTGTTCGTCTACATCTTGGTGTGGAATTGTCAATAGGTCTGTGATACACCATTTCCACTTCCTAAAGTAGCCTAGGTTTTGGTGAGAGCATATTTAATTAAAATCATTATGATAAGTTCTGTTTATTATTTGGATAGGATGGCAAATCAACATTATGCTGCGCTGTTAAGGAAGCACCAGAAGAACTGCTTTTGAAGATGTTAGAGGCTGCCTCCAAAGAAACAATCAATATTTTGGATGACGTGAGTAGAATTTACAACAGATCATCATCATCACCAACACAGAATACAGGTAACATAGATAAACAAAAATGCATCCATAATCATTTAGTTTGAAATTTGCCAACCTTTATTGAAATCAGAATTTTTTTTTAAATTGGTCTTAGATTTTTACCTATAGCAAGAATACATGGAAGTATAGAATATATGCTGTGTTCTACAACCAACAACCAACCTGATACTATAAAATATATAAAGAAATATCCAAGTGTTTAGAACTAGGCAGTGTTTGCACCAGAAATTTGCTGACGAGGGGTCAGAGGGGTCCGAACCAAAGGGCTGACGAAGCCTTGGTCGACAGCCTGAAATAAAAAATTCATTTGATAGGGTTCATGGGGAAGGTGTCATGGCCCAGTATGGTCCAAAATGTGCTTTTAGACCACATTATTAGGGATTGGAAATCAAAATAATGTAGTTGCGCCACCGCTGCAACTAGGTATAGAAGTAAACAAAAAAACAGTGGAAATGGGGTGCTTATAGTACAACCAGATTGGCATGCAGGAACCTTGAGTTTTGTATCACTGGTTTAATCCCTTTGTTAGTATTGATGCTCTTGTATTTTTTCTTGCAGGATGGTCGTAGTCTTCTTCATTTGTGTGCGCTGCGTAGCTTTGATAAATGTATCAAATTCATTTTAAAGAAATCCGATCTACATATAAATTTACAGGATGGATGGGTAGGGAGATTTTACAAGTTTAAAAATTTATTAATTATATTAGTAAATTAATTATAATAATTTATTATAATAGTTGTTTATAAAAAACATTATTGTTGTTCATCTTTAGAACCATGTTAAGGTGAAGTGGGAAGGCTTGATGATAAAGTGAGGGCTGTAGCTTGCAAAATAAGTTGATTTTAACTACAGTACTGTAATTGAGCGTAATTTTTTGCTTCAAAATTTTTCAGTGAGAGGGGGTGCAAACTTTTATTTTATGGCTGGGACGATAACATCTAAAGGGCTTTGCCATTTATTTCTATTAATGTACTATTATTTATTTCATGTTTTAACAAAAGTGGGGTGCTCAGCTCAGGCACCATAAGCACCCCTGCCTTACAAACTGGTATACAAAAAAAATTATTTATTTTTCAGGTTTCAAGAACTCCACTTCAAATCTGTGCCCGTTCAGATGCCACGTTTAGACAACAGCTCCACATAGTGGTTGAACTTATATGCAATGGTGCTGATATCTCCCTAAGAGATGAGGTATGTATTTTAATAACGCAGCACTGCACGTCAGTCGAGGCTGATTTGTGATGTTGAATTTTAAAATATACATATTTTTTACAAGTAATTGTTAATTAAAATGTATTAGTAGATAGTATCATTATAGTGGATTTTATGATTGATTTTAATTGAAGATGTGATTTTTTGCTACAAAAAACTTCTATTGGGTTCTCTTTGAATGATTCCAAATGAAATTACAAAAATAGAAATTGCTGCCATCTTATCTTGACAGTTCTACCTCAATGGATATTCCTTGAGCGTTTGTTAAGTTTAACAACTAGAAAATCAGAACATATGCAGTGGCCAGGATTACATGCATTATCCACAACCCATAAACTCATAAGTTTTGTTAACAGTCGTATGCTGAACATTGGACCATAGCAACAACGTCAAGTGGCAGGTTACGTGGGACGATCCATTTGATTACGTAGTATAGCTGCTATCAATTTGCAATGGAAATTTATCTCTACCGTGCCTTATTCGGCATTAATCTTCTTCAATAATAAATAAATAGGATAAAAGAAAAGTTAACTATCATTAAATTATAATTACTTTACACTGACTAAACGCAACGACACTCCTATTTTATCCTTAGGAAGGAGCTGACCGATATTTCAAATGTTATATACCAAATCATCATTTATTCTATCAACATACTGTGGTTTACCTAGAAATATTGACCTTGTGAGGGGGCATGAAGGTTGAGTGGGTGTACTAATGATTAGGTGAGGTGGCTCTAGCTAGGAAAATATAGTGATGTGAGTTGGGGAGGGGGGCACAAGATTCATTTTGATACTCCACTGCCAACATAAACAAACATAAGCGGTTTACTGTTCATGTTTTTTTTACAGGAAGGTAGAACTGCTGCCGATCTTTATGTGTTTAATGACTGCATGAAGTATGATAACAGTTCAAGAAAACAAGAAAAGAAGCAGATTCTGCATATATTAAAAGGTGAGCCCTCTATCAACAACATTGTTGTATTAATTTAAATAAAAAGCTTAAAAAAGTTTATTATTTAACAATTTTTATTTGCAGAATGAATGCAGCCTAGCTCAGTCGGCTAAACTGACGGTAACCATTGTGTGTGCGCTGAACCGTAGAGCTCTCTAGGTCCCCGGTTCAATTCCCATCACTGCATTCCTTGCGTTTCGTCTGGAGGGCTGAAATACAAGTCTCCCAGTGTACTGCCTAATCACCACAGTTGCAGAATATTCAGTAAGATGAAGGCGGCAACTAAATGGAGGAAGAAGAATAAATGATAAAACATAATAAAATAATAAAGATAAAATCCTAATTGCTGCGAAGCAGCCAATTCATATTCTTGACAGCAATTTGACCTCTGAAAGGTCATTGTTTGTCAAAAAACAAGTGCCTAAGACGACTGAAAAGCGGAGTTTCCTTCTTTCGTTCTGCCGGGTAAAATCAATTACTTTAGGCGACGTTTGTAGACTAACCTACTCGTACCAACGTCCGCATGTTCGCCCTCTAGGCCTAGACTAGCTAGGATGGTATAGGCCTAGCCTTGAAGGGACGACGGTCCCAATGAAAAACAACGTCGCTCTTTGATAGCTAACATTGTCTATTTAACATCACAATAATTCATTATTAGACCTATAGTTGTTTTTTGAATTGTACTCCACAAATCTCAGCCTATACCTCGCACAACTCGTTAACGTCTCTATCTATTGTCGTGACGTCTTGGCTCGCTGGCTCACACTTGCGATGTCTCGCACTTGTGATCAAATAATACGCTTGCTCGCACTTTGGCAACACTCTTTGGCAGTCAACTCGCCCCTAGAAAACCCGCCCTTGGAAACTTGCCCCATAAAAAAATGTACACTTCCTAGACCATGCAGTCTTCAAAATAAAAATTGCAACCTTTGGTAATCAACTACATTTTCCACATACATAGAAATTTTGGAAAAATTTATTAAAAAAAACCTAAACCAAAATTCACCACTATAGACACTTTTTGACAAAAATGAAAAATTATGACTTTGTTACCCAATGAGAAGTGTTCTAATATAGACAATGGGTCGTGTCTCATATTATTTGTTATATTTTTATTATTCATTATTTTCAATTGACTCGCATAAATAATTTTGTTTGAACAACATTTATATGCAGTTGTACTTCGCAGCACTTCACTTGCAATTTGCAATTTTTAGTATAAATTGCTATATTTCTTTGTACTGTATATACAGAAATGTGATATATGATACACTTTAGTTATAGTTTTGTAAGTCTTAAACATTTCAACATATCAATCACAATGCCCTATATTGCTATATTGCTCCTTTCATTGATGAATGTTTACTTTTATCGGTTCATTCTAATTCCTACAGGAGAAGTACCTCGGCAAATTTTAGTAAGTGGCTATAATGCGGTCAAAATCTACTTGAAGGCTTTAGAACAAGGTGGTGTGCAATATCAGAGATGTAGTTTAACAGTGGTGGGACAAGCCAGGGCTGGAAAGACGAGTTTGATTAAGAAATTTACAGGACAAAGGTTAGTAAATTGCTCACAATTGTGTTATTAATTTTTAAAATTCTGTTAAACTTAATATTCATGAGGAAAATTATATTTCAGATTTAATTCCAAAGAGAAGGAAACTGATGGAATAGTAACCACAGTGCTATGTGATATTAATGAGACTGATGGACAATGGAAATTGGATACTTCTAAAGAAATTGGTGTGTACTTGGGTGTTAATACCCCAAATGTGTTTCTATATCAGTGGTCTCATCAGCTATACTAAACCATGGCATTGGTAAAAAATGCTTTAGGAAAAAATGGCTTACTGTAGCATGCTTGAAATAACAGCGCCACACTTAGAAATGTAGCACAAACATGGTTATGCTTGGTCCATATATATTATCAGTCATACCTTAGGTAGCATTAGAATTCATTACAATTAAAATTCTATAAAATATATTTTTATTGACAACAAGCTTTTGATAGCTTTTCTGCTTTGGTGCTCTAATTTTTCAAAACTTGACTTGTTTTTTTTCTTCATTATTATAACTTATAAAGGCCAACTCAGACAGCGTCGGCCGACGCAGCCCGACGCGATTTGTTGTCGCGTCGGGTCTGTGTGAGTTGAACGCAGACGCGATGGTGTGCGTCGGGGGCAGTCGCGTAGTAGAATATTAAACGTGTTTAATATTGCTCACGACGGCTTAAGACTGTCCCCGACGATAAATCGGGTCGGGCTGCGTCGGCCGACGCTGTCTGAGTTGGCCTTAAGTCTCCCTTAAATACCACTTTTGGAAATGGGTTTTTATGGTCATTAGCAGCTTTGGTCTGTAATATAAAAGAATAAATATAAAAGAATACTTTTTAAAATTTGAACTCAATGAAAAGTTTTCTTTAATTAGAGGTGTCTTTAATTGAAGGTGGTCTTTAATTAGAGATGTCTTTAATTGAAGGGGTCTTTATTTGAAGGGAGACCTATATTTCATCCGCTGAGTAGAAATGAACTCTGACCTCCCACATGGCTCAGTCATGCTTTATAAACTAATCTTATAAGTGGAGTTGATTTTAGTGAGTACTGTATTACACTCTATCCATGAAGTATAAGACAAATATGTGAATTGCCCATAAATGGATATAATGATGTCGAACCACATCCCTATATGGGCATGATGGTGTCATATCACATCCATATATGGGTATGATGATGTCATATCACATCCATATATGGGTATAATATCACATCCATATATGGGTACGATGTCATCACATCTCTATATGGGCATGATGATGTTATATCACATCCATATAATGGGTATCATGATTACATATCACCGCCATATATAAACATCATAATATCGTCACATCCATATACTGTATGGACATGATTATGTCATATCACATCCATATAATGGGTATGATGATGTCATCACATCCATATATGGACATAATGGTATATCACATCCATATATCGGCATGATGATGTCATATAACATCCATATTTGGATATGATGACATTATATCACATCCATAATGGGTATGATGTCATTTAACATCCATATATGGATATGATGACATTATATCACATCCATAATGGGTATGATGACATCATCACATCCATATATGGACATAATGGTATATCACATCCATATATTGGCATGATGATGTCATATAACATTCATATATGGATATGATGACATCATATCACATCCATATACAGTACTGTAATGGAAATGTCTTAATCTTTTACATATTTTTCTCCTTTTGAAATAGGAAGCACAATAACAGAAGGTTTAAGTTTAAAGATTTATGACTTTGCTGGGCAAGAAATATATTATGCAACTCATCAGGTAAGTCTTTAATATGTCCATAATATGCAAATATGAGTATGGTCTTGTTTTTACTACAAACGTTTAGCTAGTTAGCCATGACCTATGTTACCAAGGTTCAAATAACCAGTAATGTGGTGTTATTAGGGAGCTTTCGATTGCACGACAACGGTAGGACGTAGAAGGTAATGACGTCACTAAAAGTCATCTGGAACGCAAATCTACGTATGCAGAGAACGTAGGATTCCAGGTAGGACGGTCACGCATGAGTGATTCCGTTCTAGCGTCGCGTCGTCGCACAAATCAAAAGCTCCCTATTCAGAAAACCCGGACCTTTATGTGTTAACCCTTTTCCAGACTATCAAACTTTATTTGACAAAAGCATGTGACATGCCCAAATATGGTCATGATGACATCACATCATGACCATATATGGGCACATCATGAATATATATAGACATACAACAGTTTATTTGCAAATACGCCTTTTCAACGAATCGGTAGGCAAATTCTTGTCCTTGTGTTATTTAAAATTCATAACTCCATAACAGAGGGTCCTATCACATTATTTTTTTTTTTTTTTTTTTGGATAATGTTTGTTAAAGACTATTCTAAACCACTATATGAATGAAAAAAAATTGAAAATGTTTTTGATCTTTGGAATCAAGATGGAAAAAGAAGCGCCTATCTTTAGTGTATTAAATAGGCATGTATGTTTGGAAAAGGCGTATTAGCATGTAGCATAAACAGTAAGGCATTTTACACTTAAAAATTATTAACCATGGCCATAGGTAGTGGCATAGTTTGAGTGTTGTGGGGTGGGGGATGGGGATGGATGGTTTTTAAACAACTACAGGTAATGATTTCATGAATAATGATTTTTTTTTAGCTTTTCCTCATATCTCAAGCAGTGTTTTTGCTTGTATTTGACCTCTCACTTGATCTGAATGCCAAAGCTATGGCTGGAAAACATAGTCATGCTAAGGTAAGTAATAGTATAAATAATCTTAAATCATATTATTCAATTCAGTATAAAGCTTCTTGAAAATGATCAAATAGATTGAAACATTAAATCTCAAAAATGTTTTTGGAGTTACTGCAACTTTGTTTATTTGCAACGTGTTTGCTATAAATGTTTTAAATAATTACGACTTTAAGAAAAAATGATATATTAGGGAAAATTCAGGAAACTACCAATTTCAATTCAAAATAACATTTATAAACTTCCATTTTGTAACACTATACAAAAAGATAAGAGTTCATTGAGATAATTAAAAACAGCGAACAAGGGAAGAAGGTAGATGTCCGAGAAGATATGAAATCATGTGGTGGGCCAGCTTTAAAACAAACTCTTTCTTTAATTTAATTTTTTTTTTTTTAATAGAATTTTCCCAGTTGGATGGTCATGAAAGTCGCTACATTTCTTGGACACAAGAAAAATGTCAAAGTGTATGAAATCACAAATCTGGACTTTATTATAATCTGGCTTTCCTCGATCTATGCACACACTGTGGAGAATAAGCGCACTGATGGTGCAGAAGCCAGACAGCTATCTCCTCCAGTTTTCATAACAGGGACGCATGAAAACAACTTACCAGGAAACAAATCACAAAGAAATGCAAAGGTAAGAAATTGAGAAATTTTACTTATTGCAAAGAATGTCAAAGCTTTTCGGATGGTTTAGGCTTTAGTTAAGTTTGCTATTAAACTATACTTTTCTATTTTGGATTATCTCAATAGGCTGAACAAATCTTTGAAACTATACGTAAAGCTATACAACATCATCCCTGCTTGAAACATGTTGTGACTAGATACTATGCAGTTGATAGTAGTTTGAGGAATGATGAGGAAATACTGAAGCTGCAAAAGCATATCCTGGAGGTTGTTAGAGAGGAACCTTACATGAGCAATCTCATACCAGTCACATGGTTGGACTTGGAACTCACTCTAGAGGAGAAACGGAAGGATATGTATATGATCAAAATGGCAGACGTAAGAGTCATTCATTCCTAATTTTAACAAAATTTATAGAAATAAGCTGTCTACAGCACAACTCTGCTGTATAATAATTTTAGGCAGTGACTATTATTTCCCCAGTCTTAAACAAATTCCTAAATTTAATTGGATAGTATTGTATGTATTGATTCAATAGGTACGAAGTGTAGCTGCCAAATGCGGAGTGAATGACTCAGAGGAGCTCAGCACATTTCTCCAATTCCAACATAATACTGGAAACTGTGTTTACTTTGAGAACAAGATGAATGTTGATGACCCATTGAACCACTATGTCATTCTAAACCAGAGGTGGCTAAATGACATATTCATTGGAGTCATCACTATTAGACCAGCAAGGGAACAGGTAAAAAGAGATCGCTGGTAAAGTTTTTGCTTTAAAACTTCTAAATATGACCCCTTAAGTTGAGCTTAAAATTTGGAGTCAATCCCATATTAAAGTGAGAGCTTACTGGATTGGCAAGGACTTAATGCTTAAGCAGTAATTCATATCAACAATACAATACAACAGTTATTTTTCTTAATACAATGTAGGGGGTGCGATCACACCGTCTGCATCCCCTTTGCATCCGCCCAGGTATTGAAAGCTGCAAATGATTTCAGCTGTTTTATATATCGTCCATTTGCATTTACTCAATCATTTATTTGATCATTTGTTTTCTCTTGGTGTTTTGCATGATCTAGTTTGTCCGTTCTTAAGTATCGGTATTATAGTATGTTTTACAGATTCAGATTTCTGTATTTTATCTAAACCAAGTTACAGTAGTTGCAAAACAATGTTTTGTATGATGCACATGTTATTCTCTTTTATTTTTTCAGTTTGCTCAGTTTAGTGACTCATGGGATAGACTTGCAAAGTATGGTCTTCTTGATGAAAAACTTGCAAGACATGTCTGGAGAGGTTATGACATTGACCCCAACTTGGTGTTCAACCTGATGAGCAGATTTGACCTCTTGTGTGAAATGCAATTTTCAGCTGAGGTAATGAAAAGGAGTCATGAATTTTAATTGATCCTATTCAGTGTTATGTTTATATTACTTTTATAACTGTAATATAGTATGTATGTGTATATATGTATTTAGATGTGTATAGGGGTACTGTATTCACGTAATGTGTATTATGTACATTATTTGTGTGGGGAGGTTGAGGGATGTTTATGATTTATTTCTGATCTAAGTTGTATTTTCTTTTGTTAAGTTCTTTCATTTGTTTAGCTTTAAGTTGTTGTTTTACTCTTTGTTCATAAGTTCTTCCATTTGTTTAGCTTTAAGTTGTTGTTTTTACTCTTTGTTCATTAGTTTAAGTTTGACTGTGCCACTTTCTTGTGTGCTGCCACTGATGTAAAAGAGTAATGCCAATAAATATTATTATTATTAATATAAAGAAAGTAACTCTCCCATCATCAACAGGAGGCAGCACGTAGGTTAGCTGAAAAATCTCGAGTGTTCTGTTTGCCGTGCTGTTTGAGTGAAACGATTGAAGCTCCAGCAGTGGTAGAAGATGACAATCGCACCGTGCGTTTCTTTGTCGACTTTGATGGTTTTCTACCAGGTGGCCTGTTCTTCAGATTAATGGTGCGCACAATTCGCTTTTCTCAGGATCATGGCAGCACAGACCAACGTCTTTCACGACACAGTGCTGAGTTTTATGTTGACCAGGATCACAATCTGATACTCAGAATCTACTCAAAAAATCGGTCATTTATGGAGGTAAGATTTTTACCCTTAAACCAGCATATATTACCTGACATATATCATTGGCATTCCCTCATGCCTTCTCTTAACCCACTTCTTGTGTCAGTGAATATTACCTGAAGTATATCAATTGCATTAATACATTTTTTAAGCTTATGTTTTCTTCTTACAGGTGATAATTGTACGTGTTTCAGGAGATGACACCAATCCAAGCCCAACAGTTTGCCAGATGGTAACACTTACTTATTCTAAAATTTCCATTATACTGTATACTGGCAGATTTATAAGGCATTATTATTATTATTATTATTATTATTATTATTATTATTATTATTATTATTATTATTATTATTATTATTATTATTATTATTTATAAGGCATTATTATTATATTTTGTTTATATATTAATATTATTTTTGTTATTTTATTATTGTTATTGTGTAGGTATACAAATTCTTGTTTTCTGCCTTGACTGATCTCTGTAACATTTGGAGTAAGGGTGTTAAATTCACATTTGGCGTACCATGTGACCAATGTCAGGATGAACCTCCACATCTACATGCCTTTGACGAGTGTACTCAGAAATCTAAAGTGGCCTGTAAAGGACTACGGATGGACACAACAGGATTTCAGAGTTTATTTGTGCAAGGTACATACTATAATAAAGTCATTTAACTAACTGATGTTTTTATAATCACTTTTAATTTGTTGCTGTATTATTATCTTAAGTAATTTATTTCTTGACATTTATTATTTGTAAATAACATCAATGTTCTTTTTAGATATGTGATATAATCAAGGTGCATTTATTTACTTTTAGAAAATCAACAGAAAGAGACGAGTACAACTAGTGACATGAATGTGGCCACAAGAGAAGCTGGCAAAGGTAACAACACCTACCATTACATTTACGTAGTTACATCCTGCAAAGGGCCTAAAGCTTCATTACCGCAGGGTAACGGGCTGTATGGACCAGTACGCCTTGGTAACTCCCTACTTTCCTTGAAAGATGTACTGGCCTATAGTTTATAATCCTTATCCGAGAAGAATTGTTCCACCACCAGAACCAGAGCCAATATTATGGCTATAGCTAGGTTGTTGCAACCCTGCCTTAACAGCTATTCTACTAATCAACTGATTACTAAATTTGATTTCAGTTTTCATGTTAATAGTCGTATTGTAATATTGACATCACATCATGACCATATAGGCTATAGGCACATGATGACTATATATGGCCATGATGACATGACGTTTATTTACTTTTAGAAAATCAACAGAAAGAGACGAGTACAACTAGTGACATGAATGTGGCCACAAGAGAAGCTGGCAAAGGTAACAACACCTACCATTATGTTTACGTAGTTACATCCTGCAAAGGGCCTAAAGCTTCATTACCGCAGGGTAACGGGCTGTATGGACCAGTACGCAGGTGTAACTCCCTACTTTCCTCGAAAGATGTACTGGCCTATAGTTTATAATCCTTATCCGAGAAGAATTGTTCCACCACCAGAATCAGAGTCAATATTATGGCTATAGCTAGATTGTTGCAACCCTGCCTTAACAGCTATTCTACTAATCAACTGATTACTAAATTTGATTTCAGATTTTATGTTAATAGTCGTATTGTAATATTGACATCACATCATGACCATATAGGCTATAGGCACATGATGACTATATATGGTCATGATGACATCACATCTTGACCATATATAGGAACATGATGACTATAAATGGGCATACTACAGTTTTTGTCAAAGAAAATTTGATAATGTGGACAGAGCTTTATGTTTTGTCCACACTAAAAAGTTGTATGTAACAAACTGATTTGACCATATATGGATCTAAGTCACACCCATATATGGCAAATTACATGTACAGTATTTTGTACATACAAATTGGTAAGTTCGACAGAGTTTTAGCGCTGTCCAGACTATCAAATTTTATTTGACAAAAGAATGACATGCCTAAATATGGTCATGATGACACCACATCATGACCATATATAGGCACATCATGACTATATATGGCCATGATGACATCACATCATGACCATATGTAGGCACATCATGACTATATATGGTCATGATGACATCACATCATGACCATATATCACCATCACATTCATTTCTTTTCAGATAATGTCTGCATGGTGAACAATATGGTAATTCAGAGCAGTCAAGGTAATGTAACTATTTATGAAACTTCAATTGAATTTTCACAATCAAATTATTGAATATTAAACTGTTTATTTTTTTTTCAAAGTTATTTACCTAATCCTATACTGTGAATGATATTGATTATCAAATTTTTGTTGTTAATTTCACAATTTTACAGGTTTTTAAAGTTTTTTATTTGTGTTTTTTAATGTATTGCCAAAAAGAATTAGTTTAAATTAAATGCGCAATAGGCATAGTCTGCCACAGTGGACTGGTATAAATCCTAGGATGCTTGAAATCCTCTAAAATATATGTATTTATCAGGATTTTTTTTTGTGAATCTTATATTGTTTATATCCCATGCATTTACAGTTTAATCAAGAATATTTTATTCATCTTCTTATGTTTTAGGTTCATTTACAGGAAGTCAAATCAGTGATAGTAATATTGGAACGGTGATCATTGTTAATAACACACTGGAAGTTTCTTCAGCACAAGGTAAGCCAAACGCTTTGAAACAAAACTTTATTCCAACTTTTCATGTTCTGGTTCATTTTGCAGTGCTGACAAATTCATCAATTGTTGTCATCTCCATAAAAATTATATAGGCTAGTTGATTAACTAGTAACCATATTCAGGGCGGATCCAGAGATGTCTGAAAAGGGAGGGGGTGGGGGGGCGATCAAGAGACACCACTGCTCTAGGGTGTCCAGAAAATGTTTGTTTTCTGGATGCTCGGAAATAACCTGTGGCGTTTAGGGCGATCAGTAATTTTTATTGTCTTTATTTTGTTTTGTTTTGCTTTCGCAAATCCGCCCCTGATGCATGGTGAGCCATGGATGTCTTTTTGTGTCCCTGGTTATTTTTCTTCAAAGTGCTGTTTCTGTAAACCTTTGACCACACTATCAAATTTTATATGACAAATACATGTAATAAGATCATATTTGGGTTTAATATGACATCAACATGGCCATATAAGAGTACATCACACAAATATCAAGGTATCTTTATTTCAGAAAATCAAAATCAAATATACAAAGCTGAATTGAGATAAAATGGGCCAATCAGAAACAGTGCAGAAATGTGCGCTTGGCCCACAAACACACAGACACACCTGTTTACATTGTTTTTTGTGGAAAATGTAGCAACAGTATCCAATTTGCCGGCTTAGCAGAGGCCTGTGAATAACTTATGTGTTATATTTCTTAAAGGTAATCAGAATCCTGCTGAACTATTGGCTTCATTATCCAACGCACACATCGAGGAGAATTTAGGAGGTACAGAAACATCAGTGGCGGATCAAGGAGGGGTTTTAGAGGGTTCGGGTGAACCCCCTCTGTGAAAAAACGTAATAATATTTACAAATAGGTAGCTAACAGTTGCAGTGATGACGTCACAATTGACTTATAATGTAGATTAATGTACATAGTAGATTTAAGTGAGATTAATTAACCTAGCTTTTCAATCAGTGGTATATTAACCTTGATGTGTAAAATTGTAATCTCTTGGGTATTGGTAGGGTTGGTTGAAGATTTTTTAACTTGGGGATTTGGGTTGGGGTGAATGTGGACCTGGGGAAAGTGTTGTTGTTGTCTTCCTCCATTATGGGTAATATGGGGCTACATCTAGATGTATGCCAAATGGTTCTTTTATCTAAACAATTTCAAGCTTGGTCAGAGGTATTTTTGCTGCTGATATTTAATTACATGGAAGAAAGATGTGCCGTTTGAAAAGCTTTGATTAAAACTGATTATTTACCAAATACTTATAGTTATATTTACAAATGAAAACTAGTTCTTCTTTAACAGTGTATGTCCCCAAAAACTAGGATTTATGTATTTTGTATGTACTTGTACAAAATAAATTTAATTAAATTATATGACATACGATATTCTTTATTATTTCACATAGCAAGACTACATTTATTGGCTGGCCATCATAGTGAACCAACAACAGAATTACACTGTGAAATAGGAGATAAAATTAATATCAGAAAAAAAACAGTCTCTACATTAAATCAATATTTGTCAGTTAATTTTGTAAAATCTTGATTCAGAAGTACCATTATTTATTCATTCATTTATTTATTTATTTTAGTTGTGACTTCTTTGTTAAGATGTTAGTTTCCCATATCAGGATCCCGTTTTATACATTAATGCAACTAACCGGAGAAATAAAAAATACTATAAATAATTTTTGTGTGTTTCTCAAAGTTCTTAACTGTGTACAAATACTTATTTTGTTAATTTCACCAAACCAACATAAATTGAAATCATCACTTGCAATAAAAATAATCCAAATTTGGAATAAACTGTAAGATTGATAATAGGATACCAAAATAGTGTGTCAATGTTATCGTTGCGGATACTGTCAAGTTGCAGTTAAGATTTTGGTTTGCAGTTCACGGTTTCGAAGAAGCCTGCTTAGTCCATACTGATTGTACTGTCCCCGACTTGGAACCAACATTACTGGCGTCAAACATCATTAAACAAAGCTCGACTCTGGGAAGTAGTAAATAACAATGCAAAATATTGAGGATATCATATGACTTATTAATATATTGGAATATATTTTAAGCCAGGTAGGCAAAAGAAGTTCAAAAGTTCAAAGTAATTTTATTGTCAATAGTACAAGTATAATTGAAATTTGGTTTTCTCGGATACACAAAAAAACAGAAAAAAATATCAACAGATTCTATTCAACAACAAAAAATCCACAGAATGACAGCTAAAAAAATATATATATTTAAAAATTTCAGTTCAAATATCATTATATCAATTTTCTTAACTAGGTAAAAATATATACAGAAAATTCCAAAGAAGGTTTTAAAAAAAATGAGAAAAATTGCAGGTTAAATAAAGTATTATCAGCTCAGTATAATTCTTAAACAAAAAACATTTCTCTGCTAATTAACAAATGCATAATGATACCATTTCTGTAATATGTATTGTCTAAATAATAGGGCTACCCTTGAATTGGCTACTACTGCAATCGATATGTTTTGTATTGTCTGAAAAGCAGCTAATCGGAATTGTTTTAATCTGAAGTTTAATTGAGAATCCGTCATTTTGTCAAAGACCAGTACAAGTGACGTACCTAGTGGAGCGTGGAGGAAAATGCACTTCCAAAAATCTCTACCCCTCACCCAGTCGCCGCACCAATGGAAATTTTCGAAGCAAAAAATTGCTCTCAAGAAGTTAAAAATCACCTCATTCCAAAACTTTGTTTTGCCAGCTAGTGCCCCTCATCTTGGCCCTTCCCAACAGTTACACCACCCCCCGCCCCTTCTTCCCTTTTATACCCATCGATATGCCATTACATTTTTAAAAAGAAACAAATTATTATTATTCCAAATTGGCCCAACTACATCTGTGTTTAACCATACCTTTCCTCTGGTAAATTAAGTTCTTTCATTACAAACGAACAGATTTCGTCACAATATCTATTCTTATCCTCAATTGACATTCCGTTGATTGGCGGGATAAGAGACAATGACATCCATACTGCAGGGTCAAAACTTCCCGCACTGAATATCCTTTTATTTGATGAAACAATAACTCCGACAATCTAAACAATTAATATATTCAAGCTTTATTCATTCAAAAATAATCGTGAAAGGCAGGCAAAGGCTGAATTGATACAATTGTAAAACACATATAACAATAACATATATATATATATATATACACAAATATATATATATACTGCATA